TCACCTATTCAGGTTGTAAATCGTGTTTTTAAAAAGTAACTAAGTAACTAATTACTTTTGAAAATAAGTAATCAGTAAAGTAACGGGATTACTTTTTGGGGGAAGTAATCAGTAATTAGTTACTGATTACTTTTTCAAGTAACTTGACTAACACTGGTCGTGAATACAATATTGTGTTTTCTAAAAAGAAAATTAGCCATGGCTTGTAATACGAAGTTTTTACCCTATTGAAAAACACCAACAAATTATTAATAAAAATAAAAAAACAAAAATAAACAAACAAGCAAAAATAGAAACTGAAACCATTTTCCCCTGAGCTTTCACAGCTTGTCAGCCAAGGATAAGAAGTTTTGAGTTTTCCCCTGAGAATGGGACTAATGGAAGCAGACTGCTTTTCCTGTACAGCTTGGATATTTACAGGAGATCCATCTGAGGTGGGAATAATCCATTTTTGGCTAAACTCAGGAGTTTTTGGAGTTTTTGGAGTGAGTAATGTGAAATGTGTGTGTGTGTAGGGTGTTGGCTGTAAAAAGTCAGCGTGCAGTGAATAACGTTATTACCTTTGTAACCTACAGAAAGCACACAGAGCATGTCAGATCTGATTAAGCTCTTGTTTCACTTGAAACGGTGATGATAAATATATTCAGGCATACACATTTATAACAATTAGTTTTTCTCATGATATTTGCCACTCCAGCTGGGTGTCATCAAACAAGTCCCCATGTGCATCTAAGCTGCATTAATCTCACGGGAATTATTATTTGATCATCAAAGTAAACGCTGTGCTGCAAACATGTATGATCAGCAAATGTGTATGATGTGAAGCTCTCCCTCTGCCCCTCAGTCGACTATCATCTCAAGGCTCAACCTTGCAACTCTAATAACAAAAGATAGAAAAATAAAAAGATAATCTTGGTTCTTTGTGTTGTGTTGTGTTGTGTTGTTTGTTTGTTTATTTATTTGTTTATTTCTTGGTTTCACTTTTTCAGTTGAATGTGGATACATTTATATCATATTGTAAAAAAAGATACAAATTGTGACTTTTTTAACCTTCATTACAATGAGATGGTCAACAAATGTTTCCCCTGAGAAAAACAGTAAATCTCACTGAGCATCTTTAGTTTAGAATACTTTGACTACTGTTACAGTAGGTGAAGGTTTGTTGTTATGCTCAGTTTATTACAGAATGTGCATACATATCTCGGGGTACAAAGAGTGACCGTCTCTGTGCGAGTGGTTCATGTTTGCAGGTGGGATGAATTCCTACACATGTATTCATGTACTTACACACATGCAGACACACACACACACACAGGATGAGTCATAGATCAGCACAGTCTACTGTATCAGTCTGTAGATCGCCAGGGGCTGACAGGATCACTCATCCATGAAACAGGCTATGGAGGCATAACGTGCACATACACCAACGCACAATATCACATGTAAGTTCACAGGTAGACACATGCACACTATTCGTTTTGTGACAGCGTTTTTCTCTTTGTCTCTCTAAACATTACACTGAAAGCACGCTTACAATATTAAACCAATCTGACAACATTTTTGATGATTTTTAGCAGTTTAAATCTATCAACGCAGAGAATGTTAGACCTGCATTCTCATTCTGTAATCCTGTGCTTTGTGTATCATTTGATCCAAACCAACCCTTGTTTAATACAAAACAACATCTGCTATGAAATATTAGTAGTTTATACTTCTTTTATGATGTCCAGCTGTACCATCTCAACGACTCATTTAGGTCCTAATCGCATAGGCCGAATCACAAGGCTATTCTAAGACCAGGTGTGAGTGGTTGTTGTAGGTTGGTTGCTGTTGTTATGTGAAATTAGTCACAGAGATACACACAGTGTTGTAATTTGACCCTCTTTTTGCTTTGGTTGGTAGCACATTGTTGCAGTGGCACGTAGTTTGCATGGATGATGACACCTCATCTGCAAACACTTGCCAACTACTCACTAAGTGGTAATGAAAATGAAGCACAGGAAAGGGAGAGTTAGTTCATGAGTACTTTTTCACAGTTGAAACTAATACCTTTGAAAAGCCACAACTTTTACTTTGAAATGAAACATTCTCACTTTCCAGTTTGTGCTGCACTTCTCACGGTGTCACAGCTGCTCTGTTTTGTTATCGAGTGTTTGCAGACAAGTCTTCCATGCAAAGTGCAGGTGACTGTGGCAATCTGCTAGCAACCAAAGCAATCAAAAGGAGCTTCTCATTGCAACATCCTCAGGGCTAATTTCATGTAGCAACAGCAACCACTCACAACCGGTGAGGGAATACTCATTTTCCCCTAGCAACCTGTGGTTGCCAGGTGGCCACAACCAAAATAATTACCTTCTTTGTGGCATAGCCCACCAAGTGACAGTCGGCGATTTCCCAAACTGATTGGAAATACACATTTGTCCCTTGACTGGTTGCAGGGACGTCACTGACAGGTCTTTAAGCCTTAGCCAGACAGGAATCCGTCTTTTTTTGTCTTTTGCAGTTTGATGAAATCATTTTAATGGAAATTTTAAAAGGAAATAATGAAAATGGATACTGTTGAGCCATTAAATCAAAGGTCTTCTTAATATTCTGTTTAGGCTTTAACATTGCTCAAAGTAATACCAGACAATTTTGCAATTAGTGCGCTTGTAATTAACCCAGCTTTATTACCACTCTCTCCCTCCCTTTTATCCTCATCAGTCATTTTCTCGTCCTTTAGAGCACAGCAGGCAGTGCAGCAGTTATTTAGATGGTGTTTGAAAAATACCTTTTTGGAAGTGTGAAATCTAAGAGAATTTTAATTCCTTTTAATATTCGATGATGCAGTTATTATTGATTATACTGCGATTATTAATGAAATTCTCTAATGTAACCAAGCAACAACATTTGGGGCTGAAAAATGAACCCAAAGCAGACGTGTCAAAAATTGAATTTTCTTGAATGGCCGTTTGAGGGTGACAACAAAAGCGAGTCAGTGCCCATAGACGTGCATGTTAAAATCCCAAACTGCAGAGCAGAAATGAACACAGGGCAGCTTCAAGTCGGGTTTGAAAAACTGTTTTGGTCTTTTTAGCTTTTTTCCCTCCTTTCTGACAATTGTATGCTGAGAAATTTCTTTAATGATTCACCCATTTAGATTATATTGGAGTTTAAACCTTTTCATTGTCAGGTATAACACCACTTTGACAGCTGGGTGGTGACACGATCAACTGTAGTCACTTCCTCCCTTTAGTTCAAGTGTTCAAGTGACTGAACTGGAAATCTTGACATTTAATTGCATTTTTAAATGTCGTTATCTGACAACTAATTTTGCCTTACTGTGAGATTAATTGCATTTACAGACCATCTATTAAACCTGTTATTGACTTTCACTACTATGCCGATGACACTGTGCAGTTGTTGAAGCAAATAATTTTATTTGCATATTGCTTAGGACCAGTGTTGGGGAGTAACGGAATACATGTACCGCCGTTACGTATTTAAAATGCAAAATATGAGTAACTGTATTCCGTTACAGTTACCGTTTAAAAATTCAACCTTGCAACTC